ACACACACACAAACACAGACACACACAGACATACACAGAGACACACATACACATGCATGCACACAATGCACATACAAACACATATACATGCACACACATGAACACACACAAACACACACACACACACACACAAAAACTTGCTGTTCCAGGTTTGGTGGCACATGTCTTTGATCCTAATACTCAGGAGGCAGAAGCAATCTCTTCTCTCAAGAACTCAATCTCTGTGAGTTCCTAGGTCAGCCAGAATTAAAGAAGAAGGAGAAGAAGAAGGAGGAGGAGGAGGAAGAGGAGGAGGAGGAGGAGGAGGAGGAGGAGAAGAAGAAGAAGAGGAAGAGGAAGAAGAAGAAGAAGAAGAAGAAGAAGAAGAAGAAGAAGAAGAGAAAAGAAACAGAATTGATACAGTTGGTTCATTTTCATTGTTGTGTTTATCTTGAGATGGGGTTACCCACACTGGCCTCCAGTTTAAGGGCTCAAGTGGTTTTCTCCTTCTGCAGACTTCCAGGCAGAAGGGAAGGTGGGTGCCATCATGTCTGACTAAAGAGCTATATGGGAAACAATATGAAGGATAACCCAGGGAGTTATCCAAGCATGATGGCACACACCTATAATCCCAGTACCAGGCAGGCTGAAGAATTGCTTTAAGACCAGCCTGGGCTAAATAGTGAGATCCTGTCTCAAACTAGCAGCCCACAAATACGCCTGCTATGCAACGCCCGTCTCTCCACGTGAAAGGTGGAGCCAGGAAGATTGGGGCTCACGTTCAGCCTCGAGCTATTTGAGTTCAAACCCAGGCTGGGACTCATGAGACCCTGGAGATACAAATGGGGTCAGAGATGAAGGGAAGAGAAAGGAGGAGCGAGCCGTATGGATCAGCCCACATGAAATGATGCCTGGCTTACAACAGATTCAGTAAACTCAGGCCAGGACATTCTCCAGAGGCTGTCTTACCTGCTTGCACGCCCTGTGTGGGACATTCAGGCCAATTCAGGGGTCCCCACACTGTCCACAGAGAAGACAGGGTAATTTAACTAACATCTGAACACATTACTTTCCTGATTATGGCGTCCCAGATTTCTGCTAGCCCATCTGCAGGAAGACCAAAATCTAAACAAACTGGAGTCTGCAGCGGGGCCTGAGTCCTAGAGTTGAAGCAGGTCCTGAGCCTGAGTCTGCAGCAGGTCTGAGTCCACAGCAGAATCTGAGACCTGGGGTCCACAGCAGGTCCCAGGTCCACAGCTGGGCTTGAGTCCACAGCAGGGCCTGAAGTGCTAGAGTCTGTAGCAGGCCCTGGGTCCCAGAGTCTGCAGCAGAGTCCGAGTCCCCTGCAGCCTCTCCTGATGCCACTCACCTCGTCCGTGGGGCTCCTGATGCCCCTCAGCCCAGGGCCCCTCCTCTTCCCCTTCCTGAACCCTGCTCTGGCTGATCCAGTTATCCAGACAGCCCTCCTAACTCTGCAGGTGGGCCTGGTCCCTTTCTCCCTTTACTTTTGCAGACTCCTCCCCTTCATGCCCCACATCTGATGGGTGGAAGGCTGGGGAGTAGGTAACCACAAGCTTGGTTTTTGCTGGGTTAGCATAACTGATACTTGCCTACGGTTTGAATACACAGCTAAACAGGATGGTTCCCTTTGCCCCAGCTGTTGGTTGCTTCCACCTTATTGGCCTCCCTACTTCTCCCCTTCGTGGATCCTTTTCCTCCTCTTTTCCTTTCTGTCTCTTTGAGATTTGCTTGTTTGAGGCAGGGTTTCACTGCGTCACTCCGGCTGTCCTGGCACTTGCTATTTAGAACAGGCTGACCTCAAACTCGCTACGTAGCCAAGGCTGGCATTGAACTCCTGATGGCTCCTGAGTGTAAGGGACTGTGTGTGTGAGGATGCCCACTTATGTGACTACGATTGTTTTCAGTTTACGGATTTGGTGGCCAAGGTTCACAGCTATGTGGTTTGTTTAATATTTAGTAAAAGTCAGAAACAAAGACAAATCCCCGTCTTTTGATTCCTGAGAACTGCCCCACCCACTTCTCTGGAGTTTGGAGCCTGCTGTGAGGTTGGCTCCCTGGCACCCAGGAGCCCACACTTTTCTCACTAGCCTCTAAATGACGACTGCTGAGACGTCAGTGCCTCCTCCGAGAGACGGGAATGCTGGCAGTTCCCAAAAGAGACACAGTTACTGGAGACTTTTCAAGCTTGGGAGGTTGAGGCGGGAGTTCTAGGCCATCCTGAGCTACATAGGAAACCTTGTCTTAGCCCTCCCTCCCAACCCCTCAAACTGGGTGTCCTGTTAGAGCCCGTGGGTCCCAACATAGATAATATGGGCCTACAGTGTCCAAAAAAAATTAGGAAAGAAGAAGGAAAGGAAGAGAGAGAGAGAGAGAGAGAGAGAGAGAGAAAGGGTAAGGAAGGAGGGAAGGAGGGAAGGAAGGAAGGAAGGAAGGAAGGAAGGAAGGAAGGAAGGAAGGAAGGAAGGAAAGAAGAAAGCTACCAGGCAAAGCCTCTCTGTGATGAGAGAAGTGGAAACCATGACTGCTTGGCTGGAGGAGGGGAGGGAGGCGGAAGTCTGTGGCTGACACTGTTGCATCAGGAGAACCCTCACCAGCTGTGTTCCTTAGAGTCCCATGTGGCCAGGCGTGTTGGTGGGCGTGTTGGTGGGCGTGTTGGTGTTAAATCCCAGAGCCTGGGCGACAGAGACTGATGGATCTTAGTAAATTCAAACTCAGCCTGGTCTATAAAGTAAGTTCCTGGACAGTCAGGGCTGTTACACAAAGAAACCCTGCCTCAAAAAAACAAAACAGCAAAAAACATCAAGAACCTGCTTCTTCAGGATTTTAAGGAATATTGAAGACCAGATGAGACATCCCGCCTTGTGGACTGAGCAACTGCAGGATTCTCACCCTTTCCTTTAGTGGACAGTGATTGTTGGACTAGCTGGGCCACAGCCTGTAGGCCGTCCTGATAAATGCCTTCTATCTACATCTACATCTATATCACCTATATCTATACATCTATATAGATTCACTCTATAAATTCTGTTCCTCTAGAAAACCCTGACTAATACAGCCCTAGGCCCCCCAGCTCCAGGGCAGCCTGAACAACACAGCAGGACACTGGTTCAAATAAATAAATGAATAAATACAGAAGCAAAGAGATAAGCTGAGTGTGGTGCACATACATGCAGCCCCAGTACCTAGGAAGCAGAGGCAGGAGGATTGCCATAAGTTCAAAGCCATTTTCTCTGGGTATAGAGTTCTAGGCAAGCCTGAGCTCTATAGCAAGACCCTCTCTCAGAAAAGAAAGGGTGGGGGCTGGGTCTACAGCTCGGTGGTAGAACGTTTTCCAGCATGTATGAGGTCCTAGATTCGGTCCCCACCACTATTGGAATAATAAATTTAGAACTGGAGAAATTACTCAGCAGCTGAGAAAGCTTCCCATTCTTCCAAAGGACCAGAGTTCAGTTCCCAGTACCTATACCAGGTGGCTGAGAACTTCCCGTAACTCCAACCCAAGGGGATCCGAAGCCGCCTCCTGGCCTCCACAGGCACACTCACATATGTGGGCACATATGCATAAATACTTCTAATTCATTACATGGGCAAAGGAGCTACATAGACAATCACTCACATAGAATAATAAGACAAGAGGGCTGGGGAGATGGCTCAGAGGTTAAGAGCACTGGTTGCTTTTCCAGAAGGCACAGGTGTGATTCCCAGCACCCACATGGTAGCTCACAACCATCTGGAGCTCCAGTTCTGAGGGATCTGACCCCCTCTTCTGACCTCTGAGGGTACCAGGCATACACATGGTGCACATATACTCATGCAGACAAAACATTCGTGCACATAAAATAAAATAAAATAAAATAATCTTTAAAAAAGAGAAGAAAGTAAGGGAGCTGGCAAGATGGTTCAGCAGGTAGAGAGTTCAATCCTGCAACCAACGGTGGAGGAGAGAGCCTAGGCCTGA